CTGCCTCTCCGTTAATCTGAAGAGAGCAACGGGCAGGAGAACGAGAAAGCATTAGGCTTTTCGTTTTAGACGCGTTAACATGGATGCCGACCACGTCGCACTCGGCTTCGAACCTCTCCAGGGAGCACTGTAGATCGGTTTCAGAAGATGATAATAAAGCAAGGTCGTCTGCAAACAGCAAATTTTTCGTCTGCACATCTCCTACGCGGATGTACTCCGCTTTAGCTGCTCCTGTTTTATCCATGTACAGCACAAACAGGACAGGAGAAACGACGCAGCCTTGGCGGAGACCAGTGCCAACGTTGAAGGATTTCTACTTAATGCCATTTATTCTGACGCAGCACATTCTACCAGAACACGGTGATTGGATGGCCCTTAGAAGCTGGTCATCTATCCCGTATGCTTGCAGGCATGACCACAGACTGTTGTGGAGGATCCGGTAATAGGCTTTTTCTAGGTCAACAAAACACATGTACACCGGACGGGCATACTCCCACGATTTGTCAACAATCTGGCGCAGGGCAAATATATGGTCAGAGATGCTTCTATCGGGCCGGAAGCGACACTCCTCTTCTTGTATCTTGAGGTCAGATATTTCGCGGCACCTCCTTTCTTGCACCTTTGCGTAGACTTTACCTCAGAGGCTCAATAACGTAATGCCCCTATAATTGGTGCATTCTTTGTGGTCTCCCTTCTTGAATATGGGTACAATAACTCCCGTTCTCTGGTCCTCTGGTGTCTTTCCTGTAGTGATCGCAGTTTGACAGACACATCTTAGCCAGCACATGCCTTGTTCGCCTAATGCCTTGAGCATCTCAGATTTCGTCAATTCCGGCAGCTTTACCATTTTTCAAGCTTTTCACAGCCTGTGCAATTTCATCTACAGAGATAGTAATGTACCCTTCTGCTCTAAAGGCGAGTCTTCCTGCTGTTGCGCGGGGTTAAGGAGTTCCTCAAAGTATTCTCTCCATCGCCGAAGAATGTCCTCATCTTCAGTAGTAGGGTTTCCAGACCTATCCTTCAAGACTCTGAGACTGCCTTTCTTTTCACCTCAGCTTCGGTGAATGATCTGCTAGAATACCTTGTATACCATGTGGAATTTCAGCTCCAACTCCTCACCGAACTTCTCCCAGGAATCGGTTTTGTCTTTCGCCGCTGCTTTCGCTGCTGTCTTATTCATATCGCACCTGAGAACAAGGTTCTTTGTTTCCAAGCCGTTTCTAGAACGCTGCCTTCTCTCTAACTGCCAGCTGTACCTCTCATGTCCACCAAGAAGTTTTTTCTGACCACCAGACGGCAGACCATCCCGTGTAAATCCGCAGCATTCGGCGGCTGCCTCGATTATGCCGCTCTTAAAGAGCTGCCACGCTTTTTCAACATCAGTTGTCGTCATCGGGATCTGTATAAACAGTAACGCTGGTGCCCCTTTGTTTTTTTGGTTCCACCTTGCACTGATTATCACTCTATATAATCAGCTGTCAGATGCGTCAAAGCGAAGTCTTGTCACTGGGCGCAAGCATTCGAGAATACAGTCGTACACCTCGTCTGTTTTGATAGGGCACACCAGAATACCATGCTGCCTCTGTGATTTGCAGTTCATCAGTTTGCTATCCATTTTTCATCTGGTTGCATTAAAGTAATGTTGGGTAAATGTCTTGTCTAAGTAAATTCACGGTTATGGAAATGATTGTCCCTTCATTGGAATATAACCCAGAACCTCATTAGTTCGAAGCCGACCTCTTTGACACTCTGCCACCCAGCCGCCACATGGCTGTGTTGTTAACAACTGAAGTTTTAGGTCTTCGAGAGATGATGAATGCATGGTGATGAATATTTTACTTCCTGAATGAAATGGCAGATTACTTTATATTTCAGCATAATAAAATAATGCATCTTCTGTAGTCTTTAGTATACACCAATCGCCAAAGCTAATTATCAAAACACCAATAAAAAGCCTGAAATCATTTTCGCCTTTAACAGGATAATCAAGTTTTGGACAAATACTAAAAAGCTAAGATTTGTTTGGCCTTGTTTTGAAGAGATATCGCAGGTCCGTCAGTATCGTTATCAGCCTTTTTTGATCTACTGCTGGATGAAAGTCGTTCCAGCACTTTGCCATAAATTTCTCTTTCCTGCGATTTTCATCAATTTTGATCCCGTGAACTTTTTCCTCTCATCTTTCCCACTGATTTTAAGGTCATTCTATAGGCCGTTTACTCTACCATGGAGTCGCTAACATGTGTTTAAAATATATGCAATAGCTGAGGTTTCGAGTTAATCAGTAGATTTGAGTGTTTTATGAAAAGTTATGCAGGAATGGAGAAGGCTCATTCCAATGGGTGCACTTTTGGATAGTTTGAACGATCTGCAACAGATGCGAAAATAATTGGTTTGTGCCATGCAAAAATTTTTTAATTTAATGTTTGGTTACATAATTGGTCAGTACGTTCGTTCAGCTAATTATTTATTAGTACAAATGTGGCGATGGTTTTATTCTGACGTTTGTGAGGATATTAACGAACGAATATTTAACCATATTTTACTCTAATGCTCTGTTCAGTGAATTTGACCTGCTTCAACTCCTATCAAAGCCCATGGGAGTTTTTCGTATATGATGATTGGCTGTATGTTAAGCGTCTATGTACTTTCGCGGTTAATTGTGCGATATCTGAGATGTGATTACAGAACATCACATTACAGATAAACACCGTGCTTTTCGAGGAAATAAAATATAACCTTACTTAGAGACCAAGCTTTCAATCATCCTCATGTTTCAGTGATAAATAAATATTGATGCGAAGTAAAAAATGTAGAGAACACATCGCATCATTCTGTTGCAGGCATGAAGCTACGAAATAATCTAGTGTAGAGGTGATCAGTGGCCTTAAATAAACATCCGTTTTCTGTGCTTTAGGTGCGTAGTATAAATAGGGTATCTTGCGATAAAGATTAGACTTTAATGTGCTTTTGTAGAATTATAGTGTATGGAGTCCAAAACGTCGTACTAAACAATTTTATGAAGTAGTGTTCAGAGTTTGTTGACAAAGAATAAGGTACGGTTGGTATCTATGGATAGGCAAGAGGCCTTAAGCATCTCGTGGTAGTTTTTTGTATATTCTAACTTAATCTACTGTGCAATAATCACTCGTGTTATTGGTATAAAGTCAAGATTATGTAAACTTCTATGTTCTTCCAAGTTCATCATTGCGCTGTCTACAGGATCATGCTTCTAATGTAAAGTAGCCACCATATTAAAAATAACAGAATTACTGTCTCGGTCTGGGTGTTAATAGCATACTTGAAACCTTGGTTTTTTACTTGCCGTTTGTTTACCGTTCATTGCATTATAGCGTGCGTATGTAGGGAACATAGAACGTCAGTTTGCGCTGTTGCTCAGCTTGTACCATGGATATGAGCTGATGACGATGCACGGCTTGAAGTCTTTATATCATTTTTTGCTGGGTAACACTTTCGTTTCGTTTTTTGATGTTGTTTTATATTTTAACCATCGTTGTGCTGCATATTTAGACCGGATATTTGGCGAACAGGGTAATACAGGCATTCGCCGTGAACTCTTACAGAACTCCAACTTTTGTACCGTGTACTCGTATCTACGTGACAACTTTGAACGGCCAATTGACGACGATTTTATGCAGTGCAAGAATTTCGATGAAAAGCTCAATTTTGCTAAAGAATGCGCAGGCAAAAGTCACCCGAAGTTGGTGAAGCTAATTGAAACACTTGTGGATCACTTTGAACGTTGCAATTCTGGTAAATACCTTCGAAAGTAGAATTTGTAGAATTTCTTTTCGGTGGTCCTGTTGCACCATCAAAAATATAGACTAATTAAGCATATTAGATTTAAAGAAGGAAAGTTTATCATTTTTAATTTGAATTTGATTTAATTTTTGTTTACATTTCGTGCTGATTTTTAGGTATCGAATTGCAGCCATAAAGCGCACGCATTAGATGGCATGGCCGTATGTCTCACGTGCCTTTTTATGACCACATAAACGCACCATCCCTATTATTCGCAGGTCAGCAACCTGACACTAGTTTCTCGGCTGGTGGTACTGAATTATAGTGGAGCAAATGATTTGCTCGACGGAATTAACAGTTTGTTAGGAGAAAATTCATACCGCGTGATGCATTTGATCTTATACTCTACCGTGCAATGCAGTTACTAACCAGCTGCGCCACTGCCCTCTCCCCTCACTGTCATAACTGCGCCACTGCAGTGATCCTTGGGATATCCGTACACGTCACTCTTTTATGTTGGACACCGTTTACAGCACCCGTAGTTTCCGGTGCGTTACTGATTTCCGTTTCTTTACCATCAGCTGAGGGAAGTTTATTAGAAACACAATATGTTCAGCTTTCTTTTAAGTATGGTGCTTAGCCGTTTGTTTCCTTTTCTACGTCATCATTCTCCTCTTCGCCGTCGTTTAATGGGGCTGATTTATGTACTTCTGAAGGATGAACGGTGAGTGACCCGAGTGGACCTTCAACTCAGAATATTTCGACCGTATGTTTGGCATGCTACTGTTTGAGCAACCATTGTCAGTCAACAGTGATAAAAGTGGGCATGTAGTAGGTCTGATAGACGCTTTAGCACGACGCGTTGTTTGATGTAAAGAGAGCCGTCATATTTTGCTTAAAGGATTTACATTGAGAAGAATGCCTGTGATTTTTCCGATGTGTGCTTTTTATATTTTTATCAAAATATAGTTCTCAGATATGTAATAGAATGGGTAAGCCGCCCTTTTTGGTATGGGGTTTCATAGCTAATATATCACTCAAAAGAAATGCGCTGAAACGCTTCTTCATGTACTTTTCTGTAGGACCATTCTTGGCGTAGATACGGAGGCGTTTTCCTAAAACATATCTGAACAAAGGCGCTCTCAGTGATAGCGGATGCATACGCTGCATTAATTTAACCGG